CAGGTAACACGGGCTGCAGGGCTTCAGTCCTGCCCCGGGCTGGGCTGACATTCCCACCCAGCGCTCATGGCCCGGATGGCTTGGTGGTGGTGCACCATCCCTGCTGCAAGATCCCCCGGCACCACCGGCCGCAGGGTTCGGAGGGGTCTGGTCTGACTGCTCGGCATGGTACCACCAGCACCAGTCTCCAGGCTGCTCGGCCATGGGCCAGACCTCTGGTCCATCTCTTTGGAAGCAGGTTTGGGTCCCACATCCCCTTCCCCAAGGGCTGGCAGCTCCCATGTGGGCAGCAGGGAGGGATGGGTGCTGCTGGGTGCAAGGCGGCTCTGCTTGGACAACGCTTGGGTGCAAGTGTCCAGACACGTCCGCTGACCGGCGCAGGGCCGTGCCCGTGTGTGGGGAGCAGTAACCAGCAGAGGGTAGCAGATGGTCACAGCCGTCCCGCTGCAGGTTGGGCAGGGGATGCCCAGAAAGCACCCCTAACCCCCCTGGCTTCTCCTGGGTCTTGCCCCACCACCTCCCCCAGCCCTCCTCGTGCGCCCTGTCTGGGGGGCAGCCACGGTGACGCCTGTCCTGGTGTCCCCATGCCGACACTGCGGATGTTGGTCCCCATCACCTCCTGAGCTACTCTCAGGGGAACTGTGCAGCTTCAGCAGCATTCAGCACTGATTGCAAACCCTCAGGGCAAGGTCCCTGTCCCAGGACACTGCCCACGCTGTCACCTGGGACCTTGGGGGCTGAAAGCTGAGCAGAGACCCATCAGCCCAGAGAAGAGAGGGCTCAGGGAGACCGAACTTCAGTTTTCCACTACCTAGAGAAGGGTTGTGGAGAAGGGAGACGTGGCAGCACATGGCAAAAGGACAAGAGGCAACGAGCACAGGTGCCACAAGGGACACGCTGACGCACACAAGGAAAACAACCTTCTCTGCGAGCATGGCGCAATGCTGCAACAAGACCCACAGAGGTGGGACCTCCATCCTTGGATGGTTTCCAAACTTGACTGGACACCAGAGGCTCTGATGACCCTGACCTCTGGCACTAGCCCTGCTTTGAGCAGGAGGCTGGACTTGAGACATCCATGGTGCCTTTCCACCCTACGTCTTTCTGTGACCCTGTGAAACCCAAACCCAGCATTTTCTCCGGGCTTTGACCCATTCTCTAGGAGCAAATGGCCTTTATGGGGTCCATCACGCTTGTGATATGTCAGCACTTCCCCTCCCTCTGACAAAACCCCTACAACTATGGGAGGGAGAGGCTAAAGAAAGACTTGTTCCAGCTTTATTGACTAAACAGCATCGCTTGGGCACAAGCCCTGCCTGTGGCACATCCAGCTGCACTGCTGCCGCACAGCATCCCCCCACGCTCACGGAGAGAGCCGGCAGCTCCCTAACCCCCCCACACCTCCATGGGGGAGCAGGGCCTCTGCCAAGCCAGGGAGCCAGGTTTCAGTCTTCACACCAAGGGTGGGACGTGAGCCCACATCACTGCAGCTCCCGACCCACCACCGCATCCCTGAACCCGGGCTGTCTGCTCCGCACGCCCAGTGCCGTCTGCTATCGCCTCACCAAACCCCAACCACACACCCCAGAGCAATGGGGACACCTAGAATGTGGGTCCCAAGCCAGAGAAACTCGGGGGGGGGGATTTCTGGAGATGTTTAAAGAGCATACTCCCCATCTCAGCTTCCAAAATGTCATGTAAAAACCAAGGGTGTGATGAACAGGAGAAAGTGCTTAAATTGATAAAGGAGCCCAAATCCTGCCCCACGAAAGGATTTCTGCCTTTTTTGTGCTTCTCAAAACACTACCCATCTCATTTATTCAACCAGAGTTTATAATGTTAAAAAAAAACCCAAAACTAAATTCCCTGTGGAGTTCACAACTATAAGCTGCAGCGAGGCGGATCTGGTGGGTACAGCCCACCACTCAAACACAGAGAAAGACACAGAAAGTAGAGTTTAGATGAAAAATAATTAAATCTGGGAAGCTGCCAGACTGATGGCTTAATGATCCCGGGTGCTGCTAAACACCCAGGGAGTGGGTGAAAAGTTGTTCATTATCCAGCACAGCTGGGCACGCCTGTTTGGAGAGGCGCCACGTAGAAGCACTGATAGGGGTTTCGATAGGGCGTGCACACGTGTTGTGCTACCGACACACCCGAGAAGGTCTCTCCTGGGCCTCCCAGCATCAACTGCTGCTTTTGAAAAGGTTATCCACCGCGGGAGCAGGGGGAGAGCCTGGCCCCACACCTGTGGAGCTCAGCTGGCCACAGCTGGGCCATGTCAAATGGCACCGAGCAGTCCCTACCAGCATGCTTTAATTGCAATCCAGGACTGCAAACCTTTCCTGTCCTCCCTCTACCTCCTGACCTCCAGCTCTGGTCACCCAGCGCACCTCCTCAGCCCCGGACGGGGAATAAACTCTCCGGCAAGGCCAGGCGTGGGTCAGCTTTGATGTTTATTGCTTGCTCGGTGACACGGCATGGCACGGCTGAGCACGCATCCCAGCGGGATGGGCAACGCGGAGCAGAACGATTCGGGCACGCGGGCCTCGCTGCGGGTGGGTGCGAGCTGTCTCCCCGCCGGCACCCGCACCAGCAGGACCCGATG